GCCGGCCTGGGAGAATTAATTTCAGTTTGCCCACCCCTCTCCCTGGAACCCCCTAAAACCCGGACTAAAAATTTGATTAAAAATCCCCTTAGGTTGCGTTTTGACCACCTCTCGTGATTAAAAAATCCCTCATAGAGGTGGGCCCTCGTTAATGCTGTGGGCCAGACCTGCGAGAGAGGGGACTCTCGCAGGGCATGGAAGTCAGCCGCTGAATACATCACGGGCACACAGTGACCTCCAAAGCAACCCTATATGCCTACAAAGCCCTGTCTATTATCAAGTTCAGTTCTTTTAGCTGGTGCTCTGGAATGGCCACATTCTGGGAGCAGAAGAGTTGCTGAACCTGGGTTCCAGCTAAACAGCCGTCTTTCTCTCGAAGCCGCAAAGTGGCCTCTCTGGCTCCTTTCCAGGACTGTGATTGAGGGAAAAGATGATACATTTTTGATACAAGATCCTAACTCTATCATCTGCTAAATAGCTGTATGGTATACATATTCCTAACACACTTATGAATCCTAGTTACAGGTAGTCCTCATTCAGCAGCTATTCAAAGTTATTACAGTGCTGAATGAGGAAGCTTGTGACAGGTCCTCATAGTAGCAGCATTCCTGAAGGTCACATGATAACAAGTCAGGTGCTTGGCAGCTGGCTTGCAATTATAACATTGTAGCATCCTTTGCAGTCCTCACTGTTGGCTTCCAATGAGCAAAGTCAGTGGAGAAGCCAGCAGGCGGTCACAATGGCAATCATGTGATATTACTCCTAATGACCATGCAGGATAAATCTTAACAACAGCAACCGGAACTGCCATCATAAGTCAGTGCACATGCATCACACTGCACTTTATAGTAGTGCATCCAGCAACAGAGTTCTTTGTCCCAATTAGCCATTGGTAATTGAGGATCACCTGTACATATCTTTCAAAAACAGTGCCAGGGTAGGAAAATTAAGTGTTTCTGTTATGGAAATCTCATAATGAATAGCGCGTATATTTGGTGTAGGGAGAAGACTCCATATAAAGAAGCAACAGAGCTGAGTCATAGCTTACCTTGCAGAAAAAAATGTTTTAATTAATTAAAGTAAAATGCCTCCCTAGTCTCACACTAAAGGCTCATCTGGAGAAGGAAGGAAGGAAAAGCGGGGAATGGTCAAGAAGGGATAAGAGATAGGCGAAACAACAAAAATATAAAAAGAATGAGAGATAAACACGGGGGGGGGGGGGAAATTGAGCCAAACATTCAGATAGAGGAAAGCTAGTGAAAATGACAAAATGTGTATAGTGCAGCATTTAACAAATGCAAGAATGTAGATTCATAAGAACATGAATGAAGCTAGGAGAAGTTCAGGTCTGCTGTTGGAAAATACACCTAATTTACTGTTCTAAAATATTTACAAAGTGTTAATTTAAAAATATTTTCACAGGAACAAAAAAATTTTAAAAAAGTCTCCCTTCAGGTGCAAAGCAAAAATGGCTAAATTGAGTATTTAATTCTAGATGGGACACAAAAGATTCAGGGTGTTGCTTTTGTCAACAGATGAGAGGCAAGTTGTTGTCCTGACTAAATTATGTTCTGGAGAAGTTTGAATAAGCAAGTCCATGATTTATGGAGCCTCCTGAAATTCAGGTTTCGGACAGTGTTCTTCGTGTTAGTAAAGAGTAATAGCTGCTGATTGTAGAATGGGAAGAATAGAGTCACACAAAATAGAAGTTGGGAGGAAGGGTGAAAATGGGAGAACTCTGATAAATACCATTCCCCTCTTAGTAAAATTGTATTTTGTTGTTGAAATCATTTTATTCTGTACAATGATATGTCAATCATTACTGAAGTTTAAAGTAGATATAACATAACAGAAATATTGAAACAGTTGAAATGCTGTGAATGCTTTTACTTGAATGTTGAAGTAGATTGTGAAAAAATTGCTGCCCAGTTCCTTCTTTTGTTTTTTAAATGGAATACAGGAACTTGTGATCAGTCACTTAGCGATTAAAATTACAAACAGATGTCTCCCTGGGTATAGTTATGACCTGGATTTGAAATTTTGACAGATGGGGGAGGGGAGGGAGAAAGAGGAGAGACTGCAGTCACGTGACCACTTTGGACCCTGGGCAACTGGCCACATTTATGCCTGTTAGCAGCATCCCAGTCACATGACTGTGTTTTACAATTGATTTACTGAAAACTAGCATAAATCTCCAGTTTTTGGCAAAACCACAACTATAGTGAACCATTGATTTGTTTAACAACCATGGGGATTCACTTAATGACCACTGTTAAAAATATTGTAAAAATTGATTGATCATGTGAGTGACCCAATTTGTGATTGTTACAACTTATAACTATGATGGCAGGAACCATTATGTAACCCAAAGACTACCTGTATGTCTGTGATTGATTTAAGGAAACTTGCAAACTGTTTATCAAAGCGATATAATCTTATGAGGGTGAAGGTTCATTCTCTGAGCTTGTGGGTTGGTTTCCAAATGTTTCGTTACCATACTAGGTAACATCTTCAGCCGAGTTTAGGGAATGTCAGTGTCAGTGTTCTTCTGTTGACAAGGGCTTTGTGTAGTCAGTAGGTCTTGTGATGGGTCAGGTGTGGGTGTATCAAGTGAGGGTCTTGTAAGACACATTCACACCTAACTCACCACAAGACCCATCACAAGAAGATGTTACCTAGCCTGGTAACGAAATGTTCGGAAACCAACCCACAACCTTGGAGAATGAACCTGCACCCTCATCCTACACCCGAGCTACAGATATTTGTCACTATTGCAAATATAATCTTCTATTACTGGGACTCAATCTACAGACATGTATAAATCTGCAGGTTTACTCTCTCTAGATGCTGGAGCATCACTTGCTGACCGAGAAGCTAGCTTGGAGCTAATAAAATTGGATATATCCCGCACATTTCCATCCCTTTATATTTTTCAGAAGGTAACATTTATTGATTGTGCTTTGAGATTAGACTGCTTTTAAAATAATGTTTGCTAAAAGCAAGAATTCTGTCCTTGGAAGACTTTTTTGTTATGGTTTAATGCAGTCGATAAGTTCCATCTCCATTAAGATGGGCTTAACAAGATAAAGATAGTTATAAAATCTGTACAATTTGCATATATTATAAACTCTCTTGCAAGCTAAAGTATGGCAGAAAGGTTGACGTTTGGATTTCTGTAGAATTGCAGCTGTTGTGTGTTGAGCTTTTTAAAAGCCTATACAAAAAAAACCAACAACAACGTAAGCAAATTACAAATTGTTTGGGAACACAACATCTGTGTTGTATTCTTCAATCAAAATACACTTGAGGGGGATTTACATTTTCATTTTCAAAATTGTGTGAAGGAAAGAATTCAACCCCAGTGTGCACATGTTATAAAACCATTTTTAAAAGCATATTTCTCTTTTGTTTGTACATAATGTAGTGTTCTAGTACTGTTATTATGTGTCTCAAAATGTAGGTACTACAGTTCCATCTCTTTATTACAGAGTAATAAATAAAATAGTAGGTTCCTCTGATTAATGTCTCCTTGTGAAATTGAAGCTGCTTAATGTTGTACAGTAGTGTTTCCCAACCTTGAAAACATTAAGTGTGTGGACTTCAGCTCAACACAATCCTTAGCAATGGTTGTTTTGTAATTGAAGTCTACACACCTTAAAGTGTGTCCTGCAACTAGTCTGGGAACAAGGCTGGCATATTTTGCTTAGGCAGAAGGTAGTTTTGAGCCTCAGTATTTCCCTTCCAACCTGCACTTGGAAACAAACATTTATCAATATGAAAGCTCATTTCCCCTCCCTGTTTGGATTACAGAATGCTAAAACATAACCTTTGGATTTGAAACCTTCTTTATTTCATTGTTACTAAAATGTACCGTATGACTGCATCACCCTTATTAAATTGCAGATTATTTCAATCGTGTTTATTGTTTGTAATCATCATTGCCTTGTCCTAAATTAGGTATGTCAGAAAAGAATGGACATATTAGATTTCCTCTTTTTAATAAAGCTGCTTTTTAAATGCAATAGCCTTCCAATGAAAATTATAATGATAAGAGAACAGATTATTGAACGTATTATCCCGGACCACTAGTTCTAATGACCTAATGTAATTCATAGTATTGATTACAATTGTAAGTACCTGGAGGCTACTAGGATTGAGCAGGTGGATAAATTGCCTGAATTAATGGGTAAATTAGCTCCATAGGGAATAAATTTTGTTATCGCGCAAAAGAATCCTTCTTCACATAGATGCTAATCAAGCTTCTGACAGTAGCTTTTTCAGACACGCCTTACCTATAATCAACTGCTCTGGTTAGCATCCACATTTATATTAATTGAATTTTTTGGACATTTTCATGTAGAATATATTGTATTCATGGATCTGTCTAGGCAGGAATACAAGTTTTAGAAAATGGAGTGTCCTATCACAAAAGTGAACTATAAAACATTCCTGTATTTGTTCAGGTTGAAGCTAGTATGTTTTTTTCTTGAAAAATAACAGCTATTCAAGATCATTAATTCATATGCATAAGACTTGGTAGTCAGGTCTTATAAAGGGGAGTTTTTAGAAGTGATTTTAATGACACAAGTGCTGTGTGACAAAAAGTTGGTATTAAAAGTTACATAATATGTACAAATTTTAGTTTATATTCTATCTGGTGCAGAATTTTTTCTGGATTTAAAATTACCTTTATCATATGTCTCCATTTTTAAATTTCAGTTTTTAACCTTTACTTTTTTGATCTACTGTTTCCATTTTAGGGTGGCCCTTATCATGACCTCTTGCACAGTGTCTTGGGAGCATATACATGTTACAGACCTGATGTAGGATACGTAAGTATTCATATAGTGTTGTCAATCTTTCAACAACAGTGACAATAATAAAGAAGAATGTGGAAAAGAAAGCAAAGGTAGTACCTATAATAATCAATGTTCTTGGTGCAAATCTGGAGCACAACTTGAATACCATGGGCATTGACAAAAATCACCCGTCAGCCAGTTGCAAAAGGCAGGTTTACTTGGAACAGCTTACAGTACGTCCTGTGACTATATTTTTAATGTCATCAAACAACATGTTCCTATCCCAAATCCCTGGGAAGGATTTGATAGGTGGATGAAAATGCCAAAACCAATCTAAACATTTGGCTAACTGTGCAACCAACTATAATAATGATAATAAGGTATTAAATTTGTATGCTTTCCAACTCTCAACAGCCCTGGTTATTTCACAACTATAAAATAGAAATTACAATAAAATAAAAGCTTCCTTAATTTATTATGTTAATATATATGATTATTGATATGATTATAAATGTATGCTTTATAAACTGAGTCAGTTACCACAAACTTAGCCTTTTGACCCCAAAAGGGAAAATGTGTTCTCCCACACTTAGTTTCCATAGTTTAAACTCAATTCCATTGCAATCTAGGGAATTTTGGGAGTTGAAGTCCACTCCCCTTAAAGTTGCTGAATTTGAGAAACTGGTGCAACTGTTCTGCTGCAAGATATTTCATTTCAAAAGGTGAACTTCCTAATGCTGTAACTCTTTATATATTTGCTAGGAATATAGAACAGATATTCCTAGCAAAAATAAATATCTCGAGATATCCAGAGATATCCTAGATATATTTAAAGATACTTCTCGGTAAACATGCACAGGATTGCATTAGTTTAGGGCAGGGGTAGGCAACCCAAAACACTCAGAGAGCCACTTGGACCCGTTTCCCACCGAAAACAAAACACTGGGAGCCGCAAAACCCTTTTGATATCTAAAATGAAGATAACACTGCATATATCCTTTTTTACCTTTTATATATATGTGTGTGTCTGTCTGTCTGTCTGTCTGTCTGTGTCTATGTTTGTGTGTGTATATATAAAATAAAGGTAAAAAGATATATGCAGAGTTATCTTCATTTTAGATGTCAAAAGGGTCTCTCTCTGTCTCTCTCTTTCTCTTTCCTTTTTTCTTTTTTCTTTTTCTCTCTTTCCTTTCCCCCTTTCTTTATCTTTCTCTCTCTTTCCCTCTTTCCTCTTTTTCTCTTTCTCTGTCTCTCTTTCTCTTTCCCTCTTTCCTCTTTCCTTTCTCTTTCCTCTCTCTTTCTCTTCTTTCCTCTCTCTCTTTTCTCAATCTTTTTTCTCTTTCCTCTTTTTCTCTTTCCCCCTTTTTCTTTCTCTTTCCTCTCTCTCTCTCTCTTTCCTCTCCCTTTCTCTCTCTCTTTCCTCTCCCCCCTTTCCTCTCCCTTTCTCTCTCTTTTCTTTCCTCTTTTTCTCTTTCTCTTTCCTCTTTTTCTCTTTCTTTCCTCTCCTTTTTCTCTTTCCTTTCTCTCTTTCCTCTAACTTTCTCTTTCTCTGTTTCTTTCTCTTTCCTCTTTCTTCCTCTTTCCTTTAACTTTCTCTCTCTCTTTCCTCTCTCTTTCCTCTTTCTTCCTCTTTCCTTTAACTTTCTCTCTTTCCTCTTTCTTTCTCTGTCTCTGTCCCTCTCTTTCCTCTCTCTTTCTCTCTTTCTCTTCCCTCTAACTTTCTCTTTCCTCTCTTTCTCTGTCTCTCTCTTTCCCCTCTTTCTCTTTCCCCTTTCTCTTTCCCTCTCTTTCCTCTCTCTTTCTCTTTCCTCTTTCTCTCTTTCCTCTTTCTCTTTCCTTTCTCCTCTCTCTTTCTCTCTTTCTCTTTCCTCTTTCCACTCTTTCTCTTTCCCTCTCTTTCCTCTCTCTTTCTCTTCTCTTTCTCTTTCCTTTTTTCTTTCCTCTTTTTCTCTCTTTCCTCTCCCCTTTCTTTCTTTCTCTCTTTCTTTCCCTCTTTCCCTCTCTTTCTCTGTCTCTTTCTCTTTCCCTCTTTCCTTTCTCTTTCCTCTTTCTCTCTTTCTCTTCCTTTCCTCTTTCTCTCTTTCCCTCCATCTCCCTCCAGGTTAGGAGAGAGAGAGAATGAAAGGCAGACGGCGCCGAACGGGCGGGGAAGGGGAGCAGGAGCAGAACGGGAGGCAGCAGCTCCTGGCCGCCGCCCCCATCGCCTCCTCAGCCGAACGGGCGGGCATGGGGAGCAGGACGGGAGGCAGTGCCTCCCGGCCGCTGTCCCCATCGCCTCCTGACCGAACGGGTGGGGATGGGGAGCAGGACAGGAGGCAGCACCTCCCGGCCGCCGTCCCCATCGCCTCCTCAGCCGAACGGGTGGGGAGGGGGAGCAGGACGGGAGGCAGCAGCTCCCGGCCGCCGCCCCATCACCTCCTCAGCCGAATGGGCGGGCATGGGGAGCAGGACGGGAGGCAGCGCCTCCCGGCCGCCGCCCCCATCGCCTCCTGAGCCGAACGGGCGGGCATGGGGAGCAGGATGGGAGGGAGTGCCTCCCGGACGCCGTCCCCATCGCCTCCTCAGCGGAACGGGCGGGGATGGGGAGCAGGACGGGAGGCAGTGCCTCCTGGCCGCCGCCCCCATCGCCGCCTCAGCCGAACGGGTGGGCATGGGGAGCAGGACGGGAGGCAGCGCCTCCCGGCCGCCACCCCATCGCCTCAGCCGAACGGGTGGGGAGGGGGAGCAGGACGGGAGGCAGCAGGTCCCGGCCGCCGCCCCCATCGCCGCCTCAGCCGAACGGGCGGGCATTGGGGAGCAGGACGGGAGGCAGCGGCTCCCGGCCGCTGCCCTCACCCCATCGCCTCAGCCGAACGGGTGGGGAGGGGGAGCAGGACGGGAGGCAGCAGCTCCCGGCCGCCGCCCCCATCGCTGCCTCAGCCGAACGGGCGGGCATTGGGGAGCAGGACGGGAGGCAGCGGCTCCCGGCCGCTGCCCTCACCGCATCCTCAGCCGAACGGCCGGGGAGGGGGAGCAAGGCGGGAGGTAGCGGCTCCACCGGCGGCCCCTGCAGCATCGTCGGGGTCCCTGCCCCCGGCCTGGCCGCCACCCCTGCTGCATCCTCAGCCACTTTGCCGTCGCAAGAGGAGGGCGCCAAGGCCGGGTGCACCATGGGCGGCCGCACCGGCAACAAGGAGTGCTCCCGCAGGGACGAGGGGGGTCCTGATCGCTGCCAGCCCCACAGCCCTCGCAGCCCAAGGTCTCCTCCTGCAGCACCGAGGGCGGCGGCGGTTCCCCAAAAGTGGCCGAGGAAGGCGCCACCGGTGGGGCCGAGGTGGGGCTGGGCGGCGGAGAGCCCTGCGGCAGCCAGGCAAGCTTCATGCCTGACTGCCGTCCGGCCCGGCCTAGAGAGACATGTGGCTTGCTTGGCTTCCCGGGGAGCGATGCCCCCGCCGGCCGCCGGCCCAGCCATGATTGTTGCCCGGCCCGGCCTGGGGAGACATGTGGCCTGCTCAGCTTCCCGGGGAGCGATGCCCCTGCCGGCCGCCGGCCCAGCCATGATTGCCGCCCAGCCCGGCCTGGGGAGACATGTGGCCTGCTCAGCTTCCCGAGGAGTGATGCCCCTGCCGGCCGCCGCCCCAGCCATGACTGCGGCCCGGCCTGGGGAGACATGTGGCTTGCTCGGCTTCCCGGGGAGCGATGCCCCTGCCGGCCGCCGCCCCAGCCATTACTGCCGCCCGGCTCGGGGAGACACGTGGCTGGCTCGGCTGCCCAGGCAGCGGCCCGGGGACGGCCCAGGAAGCGATGCCCCAGCTGAGACTGGAACAAGTAAGCCGGGGGGAACGCCACCTGCCCCACAGCCGTTTCGCAGCAGTGCTCCATGGAATCAGAGCCCCCTCCCTCCCCCCGCCACTGACCCTCTGTCTCCGGCTCTGCTGCTGCTTGGCCAACGGTCGCGCTGGCTGGGCATCGGAGGGGCTGCTCTCGGGACCACGGTTTGCGGGAGGGCTGGCCCACTCAGTGGAGGCTCGGGCAGGCTGCTCCCAGCAGGGATCTTGGGGCTTTCCCGCACGGCTCCCCAGCCATGTGCGCCTCAGATGGGGCCAGCCTGGGAAAGGGACTCTCTGGCCGCCCTTCTCCCAGGGGGTGGGGCACCTGGGCGCAGGGCCAATCAGGAGCCCTGCGAGGGGGCAAGTCCACATGAGAGAGAGGGGGGGGAAGTGCAAGTGCCTCTCTCTCTCTTTCCTTGCCTCTCTGTGAAAATGGCAGAGGAGGCTCTGGAGCCGCAGGGGATGGCTCAAAGAGCCGCATGCGGCTCCGGAGCCGCAGGTTGCCGACCCGTGGTTTAGGGTGACACTTTCTCTAGACAAATGGAAAGTAGAAAGAAATTGCTGAGAATCATTGCATGTGTAGAATGTGTATTCATTCACCCACATACATTTTCCTTCCATTCTTCTATACTTGCTTAGAAACATTTGCAAATTTTAGCTATCTAAAGTAAAATATTGAGCATCTTTACCTCACAATGGACATTTTTTTCTATATGCTTAATCACTGTTATTTTTAGACTTAATTATAATTCATCAAGTAAATTAATGGAAAAAAAGTAGCAAATCTGGTTCAGAATAAGGTGCCAACTTATTTTCATAATTTGGTAATATCCTAGTTTTCAAAAATACTGTTGCATAAAAATGAGTCTTTTACCTGTTTGTGTTTTAAAGGTCCAGGGAATGTCTTTCATTGCTGCGGTTCTCATACTTAATCTGGATGAGGCAGATGCTTTTATTGCCTTTGCAAACCTTTTGAACAAGCCATGCCAGCTAGCCTTTTTTCGTGTGGATCATAGCATGGTATGTGACCATATTAATACTTTAATTTATTTTCTTCTTACTGCCAATGTACATGTGACAATAGCAATAGCACTTAGACTTATATATTGCTTCACAGTCCTTTACAGCCCTCTCTGAGCGCTTTACAGAGTCAGCCTATTGCCCCCAACAATCTGGGTTCTCATTTTACTGACCTCAGAAAGATGGAAATCTGAGTCAGCCTTGAGCCGGTGAGACTTGAATTGCCGAACTGCAGGCAGTTGACAAGTCAGCAGAATTAGCCTGCAATACTGCATTCTAACCATTGTGCCACCACGGCTCATGTCGATCAGGGGTCTTCAAACTTGGCCCTTTTATGACTTGTGGACTTCAACTCCCAGAATTCCTCAGCCAGACATGCTGGCTGAGGAATTCTGGGAGTTGAAGTCCATAAAAGGGTCAAGTTTGACGACCCCTGATGTAGATGTTTCTATTGAAGTCAGTGGTATTCCTAGTCTTCTAAACCTCCAAGCTTTGTATACATCCTTATAGCTCACAGGTATTTGCACCTAAGGAACTGTACTAGCAGCAAATACATCAGTAGAATGTGTTGTCCCTTTGCAGAACTGTTGTATTTTTCAGTATTTACACATTCTATTTTCAGTTCCTCCAGTTTTCTGTGATGTAATAGTAATCCCTGTAGTCATTTTATTATTATTATTATTATTATTAATTGCATTTATATCCCGCCCTTCTCCTTTCGGACTCAGGGCGGCTGACAAATGATAAAAAGCTAACATATTACACCTAGTTAAAATTTAATTAAAACGAAATATTTGAGAATGTCCAATTTAAAAGTAATTAAAACCCCTATAAAATCCCCTAGGCCAGTCCCGCTTGCTGGA